CTCTCTCTCCTCCTCCTCCACCCTCTCCCCAGTGTTTTAGGAGCAAAAGGTGAGTTTAGTCTCCCAGATGAATCTTTCAGTTCACTTTTTGAAGGACAGCAATTTATGACCCTGCTAAAAGGTTTCCTACATCTCACCTTGTACCACATACCCTGTAAGTCTGCAACCCAGAGGTGTGGAGCTCCCTCCCTGGCTCCTGTTCTGGGTTCTTCAGCTCTGTCCCAGCTGCGCTGTGAGTAAATAAAGCTTCTGTCTGTATGCTCCCCTGAGCTCTCCTTCCAAGCACTCTTTCCCCCTGCCTCAACAACTCCACCAGTTCCACTCCTGCCTTCGTCTCCCCACCTGCACAGCTTTCCTGGTAGCTGCTCCAGACTTTCTAACTACCAATATTCCTCCTGAGCACCTAGCCTGAGCTGTCTTTTGCCACTTTCCAAGGACACATGGAGGCACCAGCATTTTCCAGAATGGTTTGGGTTGAAAAGGACCTCTAAATCTCATTTGGCCCAGGCCCCCTGCAATGTGCATCTTCAACTACAACAGGCTGCTCAGAGCCCAGTCCAACCTGACTTTGAATGTTTTTAGCAATGGGGAATCTACAGTGTCTCTTGGCAACCTGTTCCTGTGCCTCACCACACCCACCACTAAAAAAATTTTTCTTTATATTCCGTCTGAGAAGAAGAATGAAGAAGGTGCATGTCTGTGGGAGATCAGTGAGGTGGGGATGCCAGCGGTCAGATGCAGCACAGCTCTCTACTGCAGAAAAACCTGGGACAACCAGGGCAGCTGAGGCAAGGGTATCCCATGTTCCTGCTTGGTCTGTGCTTGAGGTAGCACAGAACTCCCTCAGAGGACAGCCTGCAGTGGGAATGATGGGCACCCCATGGTGTGGGGACACATCAAGGCCTGCCACGTGGGTGGCAGCTGTAAATATTCCCAAGGGCAGCATGACAGTGGGGACAGCCTTCAAAAGCATAAAGGTTGTGGTACTCATCAGAAAGACCTCCATGGATGGCCCTGATGAGCACAGCTAAGACACATTTGCTGATGTTCTTGCCAGACATGTTGGCAAGAGCTGTTTGGCACTTGGGAAGGAAAAGGTCTTCATGTCTTAATACCCTTGGGGTCCTATTTGTAGTTTGCATTTTTCCTCCTTTCCAGTGGCAAGCACAGTAGCTGCTGTGAAACGTGATGAGTCATGGCTGCAGGCTGCCAGGGAAAGGCAAGGCAAAGGGAAAGCAGGGACAGGTGAGACAGGAGGAAAAGCTGCTGTCACTAACCAGTCTCCGTGTCATTGTTCGGTAGCTACCACTGGTTTCTCTGCAGAACCACGTGCCTGTATTTTGAGCTTTACTTGGCTAAATCCATGGCATGATGAGGAATTTGAGAACAACCACGTTATGTTACACATCTGTCTGAAAGCAACATAAGAGGCACTGTGCTCTTCTGACCAGAAAATACAGCAGGATCCAGAAGGAAAGCAGTACTTTGAGAAGGCCAAGAGGAACGTATCTGGATCAAGATATGCTGAAACTGCCTTTGCTGTTGTCTTTCATGAAAACTGGCAGCAGTCACCCACCCTGGCTGCTCTGCTTTGCCATATGTCCCACCTCCAGTGGCACCACAATTATGCTGTGAAAAATCTTCCTGTGTCAAATGTTTCAAACACAAATATAGAGGGATAGAAGTCTCTTAGGTCACTGATTTGGTTCATGCCTAATGTATTTTTCATGCAGTATTTAGAATATAAATATGATAGTGTCAGACACAGGGCATCTACTCCAACAGTGTCAAGTACTGGATGCCTCAGGAGCTGTGAATCTAAGCACCTGCTTAGATCCACGATGCTGATGTAGAGCAAGACCAAGTATTTCTTAGGCTGCTACTCAATTGTGTGTGGGCTTACCATCCTAGGAAACACAGCCACTGTGTCATAAGTGTGCCTGCTCCATGACAAAGCTGATGCTATCCACAGCCCTTAGGGAAGAAACCAAGACAGAGGGATAGACCTCACAGCACAGCAACACAAGGACAGTTTACTGGTGCTACAGAACTGTTCGGCTAAAGATTTAAGTTTTTCACAGTCTACCGCATATCAGTCTCAAAACTAACCTCGTTTAACCTGGTCTTCCACTTTGCCACAGAGATCATTCTGTGCTGGATTGTGCCTTGTTTCTGGTTCAAGATGCAACATTTATTCCCATCAGAGAACTTCATTTTCAATCAACTGCACTTTTTGACCAAAACCAAAAGCAAAACACTGTCACTTAAAAATGCCCAGCCAATTCTACACAAAAAATCTGCTCTGAGGCCTGCTTATCTCAGTGTTTCTAAGAGAGCTGACAGTTGCTGAAATATAGGCACTAGGATTGCTAGTGTTGACAAGGCTTTAAAGCATCATCAGACTGAGTAGCCATTAGAGGTTATATTTCATTGGAAGTAATGTAATTCAATTACCATCACTCTTTAGTATGTCCCATCTCTGGAGGCTGACAATAAGCCATATCATCCATCAGATTTTAACCTGAACTTTGCATTCCAGCCTCAGAGATTGCCAGTTCTCCATTATGAATGGCTTCGTATTTTTAGTGACATTTCTTAGGAAAAAGGGGTTATCCAATTTTACTGTACATCCATTTGCCTGCTTGTCTCTCCTTCCTTAGCTTGTCAACCTGTTTCAATCAGGAGGCAAAGGTCTCTAAGAAAATTAAGTTCCTATCAGGTCTGCAACTAATCAGAGGCAGGCTAAAGAAGAGAAATCATTTGCACGTCTCACTCGGGAGTGGTGAGCTATATAATCCCTGCAAAATGACAGTCTGGTGAGCATGGACAGCTAACACTGTCTCTTTCTCCATACAAGAAACACAAAAGGCTAAGCAATTTGTGCTTCTGCTGGGACAGGATGTCAGAGAGACCCATGTCTTGTACTGTGAGACACAACTCCTTAGGAGAGCAGGCTCCTTTAGAACTGCCATTCATGGAACAACTATTTTATAAATGCAGTGAGCTTACTAATTTACAAAGAATTTCTTGTGCATATTTCTTCAGCAAAGAATGTCTTGAGTAATTCACTCTGACAGTCAAACATATTGCAAATACAAAATATAAATTGCACAGGAAAGTGATGTAACATTTGCTTTCCCAAGTCTATGCATTTAAGCTCTATCAATAACCGCATTTCCTGTCTCAGAATATCTGAAATGCAGAGTAACTGATTCACTATGTTTATATGTTTAGACAATTACTCTTACTGATGATTATCAACATTATTGATTCACATTACTGTTGTTGTTCTGCCTCTTTGCTGCCTAACTGAACCTGATGTACTCATGTACTTTGCTAGTTCTTTATCACATTCATCAGGCTACACAAGGGTTGTGACTTATGACATCTTACTCCTCACAGGCAACTGGTTTACATCTGTCATTGTATCCATTTCTTTTCTCACTCCCTCTCCATCCTTCCAAACTTTATCTTCTCCCTATGGACATTCATGCTAAATCCCTTTTCTTTGGCCTTTCCCCCTCACTGGCTCTCACCATCTCTGCATCTCCCCTTCCCCCATGTCCACTCATCCTTCATCCCAGCCTTGCCCATCGCTCTACCACCTCTTTCTCTGCCTCCCACATACACTGTCTTTATTGTATCTTCCACCTTCCTCACCTAGCTTGCTTTTTGCTCAGAAGATAATCATCTCTCACACACAGAATTTTACTAGGAAGAGATCAGTGAACCTGGACACCCTTATGGAAACACTTCTGCTGGACTTTCCTGGTTTCACTTGCTCACACTCCTACATGGATAATATACATGGAAGGTGGACTTCCCACTTACCCCTTCTGTTTTCACCTGCCCACTCACCACCATCGTCTCATGTTTTCTTCTACTCTCACTGCCAGCCCCACCCTTTTCCCTGTTACTGCTACTCCCTGTGACACAGGTAACTTCAACTACAGTCAAAGCCCTTCTCTATCACTTTAACTTTTTTTTCAGCATTTCTCTGCAACGTTTACACTATCAATGGACCATTGTAACCTTCTCCCCTGCTTCTAATGAATCCCTATGAATACAAAGCTTCACTTTGCTTCAGATATTCTCTTACCCTTCAATCCTGCTATCCTCTTCCTCAAATACAATGGCTTCTCTAGTCATTGTAAGCTTTGGAGGTTGACACTTTACTGCTAGAAAAGGTTGCCTTCTACCATCTGGGGAGTCATCTGCTAAATTTCAGATGAGCCTGCCCACGATCTATGCAGGGTATGAAGCCCGTTGTACATCAGATGCCTCAAATCCTCCAGGTAAGAGCCACATCATACAGACACATGCACACACACTCTCTCTCTCTCTCTGCTCTGCTGGAAGACAGCCCATGTTGCCAAGAACAGTCACCCATCAGCTGCAGGTAGGCTGGCAAACTCCCACATCTGAAATACCAAGTTTTACTCCTCCCTCACACCCGTTACTCACTCCTGCTGCCATCCCTCAGGGAGCACCAGTGAAACTTTCAGGACAAGACCACCAAGCCTCTTGCCCTGATTCCTATACTTTTTATAACTTCTGTCACACTCCTGTTTCTCATTCTCTCATCCACATATGCCACCCTTTCCCTCCCCCTCTACCTTATTTTGTCAATTCTTAGAAAGCTCTCTGCCTACACACAGAAGGAATCCAATTCGTCTTGATTTAGGTTTCTACTGAGAGGAGACATTTACAAATCTTATAGTACATCCTTTAGTCTTCGGTGACCAGCTCTGGCCATCAGTCTCTATTGTTTGTTTCTAAATTGCCATTCATCTGCATTATTACTCATTCCTGATTTTGTCACCTTTTCCCTCTCCCACATTCATTATGTCACCCACAGGGTCCTGTCTTGAATTAGACTGCAAGATATTCAGAGCTCATACAGCACACACACACAGTGCATTGGGAGTTTGTCAGAGCTAGCTAGGGTTTCCCCCACAGAATGTAAGGATCATAACTGCCCAAGGCCAGCAGGAACTCACCGAGCCATACAGTTCCCCTTTCTCATTCATTCCAAGATAAAGTCCACTGTCGACTCCTCGGATGCTGACCAAGCCCACTGCTATACTGATAAATTCCAGTATACCTATGAAATGAAGGAAAAAACAAACAATGTACATATTGTTTCCATTGAAAGGTTGTTTTTTTTTTCCAGATATGACTTATCCCTCATTGTGAAGCAACTATTTTCAAGGCTTTTCTCCCATTTTGTGAGTTGTTTGAAGAAGATGATGACAAAATTAATGTACAACACTTCAAATACTTTGGATCTTTGTTAGAATGATGCATTTCAGACAGCATTAATGTATCAAATTAAAAGATTGCCCTCAATTTTTCTCATCATTCCTAAACACATTTCTTAAGCTCAGTTATACTGATTTTGCACAACAGATAATACATTCAGAGAAAAAAAAAAGCTTTTAGATTGCCAAAATTATCAAGAATGAGGAAACTTGTCTTGAAAAATAAATTCTGAAAAAATACATTTTAATCAGAATTGTGAAATAAGGCAATGTTACACATGGAACCAAAAGATCTCCTTTCAGACATCAATGAATCAGGAATACAGTGAAAGATTTACTCACAGTATGATCTTCCAGAGGCTTGAGAAATGAAAATCCTTAGTATAGTCCAGTGCCATGCATTTCTGTTTAGATAGTAACCATTCTCTATGATGTGTTATTATTTACTCATCTAAAATTCAGACATTAAAACATCCTACACCTAAGTGTAATAGTGTGTACATGATTAAGTTTTTCCATGTACATCACAGCAAGCTTACACAGACATTTTTTCTCTTAGAAATAAGAACACTTTGCAGAGAAGCACTGCTTCTGCAAATCTCTGAGGTTCAGCATCCATGCCTACAGTACAACAAGTATCTGTATCAAGTATTGGCTTATCCAGTTCTGAGGGTTTGGGGATTTTCTGACAGCCTTCCCTGCAAATTTCTTACCTCTTCAATGAGGATGCTGCTAGCCAAACCTGGCATAAGCCTAGGAACCTTGTGTTAAAAAAATGGAAATTTCTTCCTATTTGGGAGTGCTCATCTAAGACTGTAATGGTCTCACAGGAAGTTATCCAGCAACATTCAGAAGCATGCTGCTGTGTTACGCTACTTTCTGAGGCACAAAATAAAGTGTGTCCTGCACAAAGTAGCTTTCTTAGTATATTATGTGAATTTTCATATCTAAGCACACTGCATAACTTTTTTTAAAGCTTATTGGAAATTATATGCACATGAAATAATGAAATAACAGTATAGTGTGTGTTGAGCCTCGCAGGGCCAATAAAAAAGCACTTTTGTGGCTTTTTATAACAATTAATTTGGCATCTCACACAGAATAGTTGTGCACTAATCAATAGCAGGCATGAATCACATAGATCTAACATAACACAAGTTGAAGCCAGTAGGGAAAATTTATAGCCAAGCTAATGTAAAGATGAAAAATATTCGCTGTAAGGGAGTATTGATCATTACCTTATATATTATTCAGCACTACAAACACCACAGTATAATTGTTTTGATAACCCTTTTTAAGGCCTGGGCATTTTAAATTATTCTCTACATATGCACAAATAAAAAGTACTGGGAGGAAATATTTGCAATTATGTGATTATTTAAGCAATATAAAGTGGCAGCATGCCGTTTATCTGGTATATGTAGTATCTCAGATACAATTGATCCATTGAAACAATTTAAAAATTCCCATTATACCTGGACATGCAATACTTTCAGATTTCTTAGTAAGGCTTTCTCTCTAAAGCTTTTACCAAAATATCATATTACTTGATACATGTTACCAAGCAATTTTAACTGAGGTTAAATCTTTTGTTAAGTGTGTATTAGACACTACTATAGCTAAGTTAGTGAGTCTGGCATTTTTCATATCAATCCAAATGTAGTCTTTAATTGCTGTCATCATTTCAAATATTTGGATGCATGCTGCTTAGTGCATGAAAAGAACAAAAACGGCACTGTCATGTCCTATCCTAAGTGCAGAAAATTAATTTAAGGTACTTGGCAAAAAGCATTCACATATTTAAGATCAGATAGAGACCTCTACATTTGAAACACTCAAAAGCCTACTCACAGCAAGTTTTATGTGCCATTTTAAATCCTTCAAGAGATTATCTGGGGCCAAGCGTACAGTCTTACCAAAGTCTTGTCAGTGCAAGGATTGCATTTGTCCCATAGTTCTGTGCATATTTTCACTGTATAGTTTCTATAATATACAGATATTACTTAGGACCTGAACTAGATATTAAAATAGATAATCCTCTTCAAAATGAGGCTGTATCAAATGAAAATCAGGACAGCTCCAAACTTTGAAAGCTAGGGCCCTATTTATAGCTAAAAGTATGGAAGGGAAGAGAAGCAGAGAGGAAATAACTTCGTACATGGGGTGCTGGATTTCTTCTCACTGAGCATTTTCTTTAATGAAACCATTTCAGTGCAAAGACCCATTCCCTCACGAGGATAGGAAGAAAGTTTCAGGGAAGCTATTTATTCCTTACTCGTCCTAATCAGCCCTTCACATACCTTCCTCTACACGATCCAACTTAGATCATGCTGAATGGTGCAGGACACCAGCCTGTCCTAATAAATGCTGGTCCTGCACACTCAGAGGTGTTGTTCACGAAAGTGAAAGTTTAATTTTCATCCTTGGCTTTTAGGCGATGAACACCTCTGCTACTGCACAGTTTCATGTTGTTGCTGGTTTACCCTATGGCCGCTTTTGTCTCAGGCTACACGTTGGCTCTTTTTGCATCAATGGATTGGAGCAGTTTAGCTTTCCCTTAGCACTGCAACAGACCATCTGTGACAACGAAGACGGTGAACAAGTATCACTGCCTGCCACCTCTCTGTACGGCTTCCAGGGGAAGGGGAGCGCAGGAAGAGCGGTGGGGGATCCTCTGCCCGGGCTGCGGCGGAGAGCAGTGGGGCGAGGGAAGCTAAGAAGCCGCCAGGAGGTCAGCCCAGCGATGGGGCGAGGGAATCCCGGCACCGCCGTGCCCCGGCGCCTCCCTCTGTGCCTGCCGCCCGCCGGCGGGGCTGCGGTGCGGGGCTGCGCGGGGCTGAGCGCTCCGCCGGGATGCGTCCC